TGGAGCCCAAATTTATGCACCTGCCTGATTTTGTTTAAACAATTATTTCACTTTCTGTGAATCCGATAAACTTCATTTCACTTCTCAAACATCACTGTGTCTCCTACATGATGTATTTAACTGACATTTTATATTGTCACAGCCAACGATTTATACAGGAAAATGATGACTATTAACAAGGTTGCCCAAACTTTTGCATCCCACTGTATATTCGGTAAATGCCCAAGACATCTTGAGAAATGTAAATCACCGCTTGATTCATCCATTTGGTTGACTTGTTTTGGCGCTATACAGGAGTTTCCTCACCGGGGTAGCATATGCTAAGGCGCGCAGAGTAGACTGAAACTGAATGGTGAAAAGTGAAACAAATTATTTGAGAGCTACATTTTTAAAGGATACAATACAGTTTCAAAGAAATGAATTCATTTTCAAAATATAAAATTCAATTTCAATTTAGTGATGAACATTTACAAACCGATACATTGAATTTCAAATTAGACTAATTCAAATTCAGTTTTAAAAAGCATTTATTCAAGTTACAATTCAGATTCAATGTGAGCAATTCAAATCCCAATTTAACTTCTTCCAATTGTTTCTGATGGCACTAAGTTCTGCCCATACAAGAGCCCTAGTTCAAAATGTGTTTTGCTCCGGCTTCTTCCATGGATGTTAAATTTAATTGGTGATTCTGAATTGTGTGTCTGTGTCACCCTGTGTGGCCTGTGTGTATCTGAATCCTATGTGATAGTTTCAGGTATCCACTCTAAGCTGGGAAAGTGTTAGAAAAACAGAATCATATATTTTCCGCTTTTTCATAACTGGTTCTTTTCATTAAAACCTAATTGAACTTTAAAAAAAAAGCCCAACTCTGTCTGACATGCTGCTCCTGTTCATTTGTCTGTAAAACAATTATCTTTTATGAAAGAGGCTTATATTAGAAAAGTAAATTCTTACTGAATTTCTAAGGCATTAAAATGACATACTACTGCAATACTGAGATTAACCACAACACCAGACCGTATGCAACACTGTCACTGTTTGATCATTTGGATTCATTGCACTTCATAAGCAAACCACATTTGCCACCAGACAGCGACACACTGTGGTTAGAGAGGGTATTACATTGAAAGACTTTAAGCACATCGGTGGAGTTGTAACATTATAATGAACCAAAGCAAAACAAACATAAAAAAAATACCGCTGTAAGTGTTAAAATGGTAAATGGCCTGCATTTGTATAGCGCTTTACTTAAAGTCCCTATGGACCTCAAAGCACTTTACACTACATTCAGTTATCCACACATTCACACACTGGTGATGCAGCTACATTGCAGCCACAGCTGCCCTGGGGCCACTGACAGAGGTTAAATTTGATATACTTTTGTGAGCTGGCACCCAACATCTACATGTTCACTTTTTTCTTTGATATGAAAATAACTGCACTTATTAATTATTATACTGAACGTAGATTACGTACTGAACTCTACCAGTGAGAATGTGCTCTAAAGGTGGGGTGAACCTGAACATGCAGAGCTAACAGAGAGACAGTTGACCCATCACACTCACCTGCACTTCTTTGGACTGTGGAAAGCAGCTCGAGTACAAATCTCTGTGGAACCGGAGTCAAAGCCAGATTTCACTCACAAGTCGACAAAATGTCAGCCAACAATTAGACTTGTGCATCTTTTAGGAACAAGTAATAAATACATTTGGAATTTACAGTTTATCATATTTATTTTTTTACAATTAATTAAAAAAAATATTTCAAACAGGAACAGAAGGTAGAGCTGAGCATTAGAAAATATCACAGAAAAGGATCAAACAAATCAAATCATCTCAAAGACAGATCAGCTGCATGCTTCTAGAACTCTGCACATTTTTAGTCTGATATTAAGTTACAAGACGGCAAAGAAAAAAATAAAGAAATTAAATCTAAGTTCACAACATTTAACCAATCCTCCCAGAAACAGAAGAGGATGAAGGCAAAGCAGAGGAAAAAGTGCATCTGTAAGCTGAAATAACAGAATATCAAAAGGCTTCACATGAATGTGCACAGAGACAAGACTGCATAGGGAGGAAATGTTCTCATAGCTTTGCTCTGAAATGCAATGACATCAATTATTCAAGTGTGTGACTCATGACTAAACAATGAAGTCTTGGTAAGCATGAAACTGAAGTGACCAGAACACAACAGCAGAGTCATTTTTGTTCTTGACGACTTTGCTCGAGCTCCGAGTCGTTCTGCTTCAGGAATAAATTAGCTGTGTTAGCATGTATCATAGTTAAAAAGCACTTATTACACGTTACTAAACTTGTACTTGTTACAGCAGAGAAGTGTGTTTTATGTGAAAAAATAAAATAACAGCATCTAAAAATGTGTCTGCATCGTGGCTAATTAAAGCTAGCTGGTGCGATTAAGTTTGCTACAGCTGATTTCCCCGCTTTTGCATGTTTCATGTATTCACATATACAATATAACATCGTAGTATATGAAATACTACATAAAATTTGAGCTACATCTGATTATAACAGAGGAAAAATCACCATCGGTTAACCTCGTCCTGAAAAATGCTAACTAGCCCAGCTAGTCGTATATTTCAAGGGGATCTATTAGTTTTTCTGTATTTTATGTGATATATATTTATTTGTTTGAATACCTGCACCCCACCTGACCAATCAGACAAGAGTAGGCTGTTGGGGGGGGGGTCTGCATAAAGATTGTGAACCATGCATAGCTACTGTAGCGAGGATCAAAGAACGAAAATATGAAGCTAGCGAATAACATGTTTTACAGTGAACTGTAGTTAGCATTGAAAATAAGGAGCTGCGTTAGTGCCATGCGGATATTTTCTCTATTTTTTCAGAGATTTATTTTGTTGATATTTTCTCGTTGTTACAACACTAGTTTAGGGAAAACTGGTTTTAAACATTCATCTGTATTAAGAGATTATGTCAAAAATCCTCCCGAGGCTGATCTTTACTGTGATAGCACTGAGAATGGAGCATTCATACAGATGTTACAGTAAAGAAAAGTAAAGAAGAAATTGCCATCAGTTCATAGGTAAGATAACTAAGCTAAATGACCACTCAGCAGACTCTCCAGTAGCCTTAAAGCTAGTGAGAAAAACTCGGTTTACATACTTAAGTTAAAATCATTTAAGTCAAACATTTTCTGCACAAAATCCAGCATAAATACAAACCAGCAGGCAATAATTAGTGCAAATGACACAAGGAGCATTATATGGATCATAAAACTCTTATAATGCAATTTTTCTTGTTAAATAAAATACTCAATATTGCATTAAAATTGCTTAAATTAGCTTAAAGACTCGAAGACGTTTTGGACATTTAGTGACTTTTTAAAATGTTATATTGAACTGCAAATTAAATGAAATGCCCTTAAATGTCCTGAAGTGAGAAAGCTCACCTTATATATAAAATAATGAATCAAAACAAACTAATTAACATTTTTGATAATTCTAGAAAGACACAGCGCTACCTACGCCTTGTCTTTTATGCTAGTAGTGTTAGCTGCTTGTTAATAAGGTAGAAACTGCTTGTGTGTAAACTATATGAAAGTAATATTTGTAATCTTCTACCTTAGCTATACCTGCACTTTACATTTTCAAGATTAGCTAAAAAACCTAAAGCCTCACATAATTCTGAATCAATTCTGATTTGCGGTAGTACCATCAGCAAGAACCGTTTTTTATGGAAGACATAAATTGTTTAATTGGAGGGTGTTTGTCTGCAAACAGCAACAATACGTGCACTTTATGTGAAACACAGTTTTACACCAGTGTAAGTTTAGGCTCAGCCACACTAACTAACTGTTTTGGTGGAAACTGCCAGACTCACCTGCTCTTCGATAACACAGAGCCAATGATTTCACTGGATTAATTTTTTCGAGCCATGCTCAATTTTTACGATTCAAATCAGCTGATCAGACCAATCAGAACTCTGCTTCTGCATCGAGCGTTTGTAGCTCAAAGCGTGCACTGTTACTGAATACACAAATAGTAAAATAAAACTGTTGTACATCAGACGCACAGCTACATGCTGCTCTGGGACCATCAGCTCTGTTAAATGATTTCTCTGCACCCTGAGATGAGGTCCACACTCTGCCAACAAGAGCTCAAACTGCCCCACTGACATCCTGAAATATCCACGGTCGTGATAAAGTCCTGGATCAGGCCAGCACATCCCCCCTGCTGTTGTCTTCTCCTGAGAAGTTTCCCTTTCTTGTTTAGAAGCATCAGGACCAGCTCATCGTGGCTACATGTCCACTTCATTTTGTTCACGGTGCATTTTTTCCCCAACACGTTACAGACACTGTTAGACTACAGGGATATGGATACAGCGTAATAACATGGGAATGGTTGGTGATACTAAAGTCCTGTTTGTGGCACATTAGTATATGTGAGGGGGCAAACTCCTCGAGATGGGCGGTGACCATGGTGGCCATTTAGAAGTCGGCCATCTTGGATACAACTTTTGGTGTTGCTATCAGTGTGTGAAGAGTGGGAGAGGAGGGTTGCATTGACAGTCCAACACAATGGGCAGCACATTGAACACATTTTATAAGTGGTCAGAAACTTGTAAATAACTCATGAAAGAATAAAGTTACGTTGAAACCAAGCACACCATTGTTTTTCTTGTGACATTACCAATAAGTTTGATGTGTCACATGGCCCTCTTCCTATTAAAAAAAACAAAAGTTGTATCCAAGATGGCCGACTTATAAATGGCCACCATGGTCACCACCCATCTCGAGGAGTTTGCCCCTCACATATACTAATGTGCCACAAACAGGACTTTAATATCACCAACCATTCCCATGTTATTACGATATAAATGGTCTACCCTGTACTTCAGTTTTGTATGTTACTATTGTTACTTCCCCTGAGGGGTCTAGGCGGGGAGGGGGAAGTAACAAAAAGTGACCGGGTCAGAAAAAGGAGTCAAGGAGGCAAAA